CCATAACAAAGTTAATAGCTTTACCTCAGAGCTGGCAGGATGGTGGTCTGAGGTGATTTGTTGGGTTGAGCTGTGTCAGATCGAGTCCTCAGGTCCACCTGAGTTACAGCTTTCCAGTTACCAATACCATTTTTGTTGTTAATCCAGTCACCACCAGCCAAACTGTGGATTTGAATTGAAGGTTGTAAGGCCCATAGTACACACATTAATATACTAATTTGTACATGAATCCAAGTAATGTATAAGCACAAGACATTTCTAAGATATGGGAAAGACCATTTATACAGATCAGGAAGCCCCCAAAGCCTGGAGACTTTAAACAATTAGGGACGTTTAACCTCTTAACCATAATTGTTACTTCGATAAAATTCCTTTCACCACAGCAGAAAAAATATACACTTAAGGTTTTTTCTTCCAATGGGGACAGTTGTTGTCAAAACTCTGTAATTCTTATTGTGAGTAACCGTATGTTTTTGTCAAGTGATACATACAAGTTTGACCACTGAGTGAATGCAATCAGGTCAGTGGCATTTTGTTGAATCTGCTGTTTCAGCTGACGTGTTACTGACCGTAGCTGAAACAGAGAGTTGCTGGAAACCTCCCGAGTCATGACTCCTTCCCTCTGACACCACTCTCTGTCCTCTTCATCCACGATGTTCAGCTCCACACTCTCACTACCACAGTCACCGCTGGCACAGCTCCACTTGTCTTCATCTGTGCATGAGCGAAAGCTCAACTTGTAGTCAAAGACCACCTGCGATATTGTAAAAAGAAAGAACGAAAGAAAGAAAAGATGATGCTATTGTTATATGATTTTATAATATTATAACAAGATTGTTGCAACTTAAAAAATTAATAGACACTACTGTGTTGTCCACTGGGTAGCTAATACCCTGATTATGTTGTAATAACAAATTGGAAGTCACACAGCTTCATGATCACCCTCTGATCATGGAATTCATGGCACTTCACACAATAAAACCACTGCATACTAACACATGTGAAAAGTTACATTTGACTTGCATATATTACACAACAATGATACCAGTGTATTTTTCCAATTCACAGCTTTAAGCAGTCTGGACCATTTTGTGGTAAAACAACAAAGAAGAACTGAATGCAAGATAAATCCTGGGCTTTACCTAAGCTGTCAAATTTATCCAGAGAGCAGCTGTCCCATCCTGCAATGCTTGCACAATTCCCAACAATTTCTAATAGAAAGGTTACATAAAAAAGTAGAAAATATATGCTGATTCTTCTTCAGCTACCACACTGAGATGGATCTGTAAAATCTGGAATTACTTGCCCTCTTTGTATATTAAGTTCACACATTGTCAGTAGTTCACCCACAGATTTTGACACGTGTGTGATTGATTTACACTCACGACATCACGTTATTTCCCCTATTTCGTAAATCAAACAAAGCTGAGCACTTTTTCACTTTTTTTTACAAATACAAATTTTGTATAAGAACACATTATAACAGCAATTAATATTTTTGCACTATGCCCTTACCCTTAGAGATCCATCATCCGTGCTTTCTTTAGGGGTAAAGGTCATCACTGTCCCAAAGTAATGGGATGCCTGAGAACCAGAAAGCACCAGGAGAAGAAGAAGCAAGCATGTGGTCATTATGTCCTCAGTTTAACTGCTGCTTTATACAGTCAGATACTCGATACAACACAAAAACGGACTCAGCTCGAGTATGCATCTGAAATTAAACGAGTGCAACGGTTAAAAAGAGGATTGTTTCACTGCTCCTCCTTCTTTACTCTCCTCCCTTTAAAATATCATTTATGTCCCACTCAGTAGAGGAGACACAGTGAGACTTCTGGTTGGGTTTTACATCATCACTCATAGATACAAGCAGAGATTTGTCTCATGATCCTATTTAATTAAAGTAAGTTGTAGCAACACTGTTTAGATGTTTTTCATGGTTTGGTCTCTCACAGCTTTATCATTACTACTTGATTTCATCAGTACTCCTGCAAAAGAGAAAAAAGTTTAAGGTAGCTCAAAACAAAACTTCACACTATGGACTGCAATACTGTTACAGAACTCATGCAGCCTGGGCTGACTAACTGTTAGAGATCAGCTTGTGCTTTGCTTAGTTTAATCAGACATGGACTAAACACGAGATTATAAATGTATTATATGGAAGGCTGTTTTCTGTCTTAGTACCAACAGTGAAAATGTACAGAAAACAGTAAATTACTGACCGTCTTACTAGGGAAAATAAAATCTGTATTAAAACAGTTTATTAAGACAGTATTTCTTAAAAAAGCAAGAATTATGGTTCTGAATAACAAAAGTGATGGAGGGAGCATAAATGTGCTCTGTGAATATGAAAAGACAAATGTGTAAGATGTAAAAATAAATAAATAGCATATGAAAGAAGCTTGCTTGTTTATGTTCATGCTTTTCTAAATTTATACTTGACTGTTAGTCATGTATATAGTGTGATGCTAATATAAGAAATTCCTTCAACTGCCTCTATACCAATAAAATAAAAGTAATAATGTTTTAGCAGAATTGGAAACATATCATTTTCATTGCGTTGATTTGCCCTGAGGAGCATGTGAATGTAATAACTGCCATGACATTCCTGAATGGAGCACTTAGGGAAAAGAACTCACCAGTTTTTGAGTGACAATAACAATGTGGTTATCTTCAGAGATGTCAAAGTCTAATTTACTGTACTCTCCCATGTAAGACATGTTGATAACCCTTTCAGACATTATAAACCTACTTGATTTTAACGTTTGAAAAGCTTTCATTTACCTGTGCAAATAATGGCTACTCTTTTTCCTTTGGTCAAGCATAAGACAGCTATGTTGTCAAAATGTCTTAGTTATACATAATTTCTTTATAACTGCTCCATTTTGGTAAAGGCTAAGCCAAGTCACTGGGACACAGTGAGGCAGATATATAGGTTCTGACAATAGTTTAATTTTATTAGTTGAAATAAACTATATTGACCTTTAGCTCAAGAACAGTGTGTGGGGAGCTCAATGGAATGGGTTTCTATGGCTGGATCCAAGCCTTACATCACCAAGCACAATGCAAAGTGCTTCTTGTTCCAACATGACTGCGCTCCTGCACACAAAGCAAGGTCTATAAAGACTTGGATAGGTAAGCTGGGTGTGGAACAATTTGACTGGCATGCACAGAGTCCTGACCACAACCTGACAGAACACACAGTTGGGATGAATTAAATCAGAGACTGTAAACCAGGACTTCTTGTCCAACATCAGTATCTGAGCTCACAAATGTGCTTCTGGAAGACTCATCAGAAACTCCCATAAACGCTTTTAAACCTCGTGGGAAAGGCTTCCCAGAAGAGTTGCTGTGATAGCTGCAAAGGGTGGGCCGACATCATATTAAGCCCCATGGATTAAATATGTGATATTACTCAAGTTCATACGTGTGTGAAGGCAGATAAAATAATACTTCGGTTAATATAGTGTATTTTACAGTATTTTCTAATAGTATTTTTTTTCACTAATTTTGTCTTTGGCATTTTGTGGTATTTCATCCTTGATTGTGTATAGAGACCATTCTTACAGTTCATCTTTGGCATTGTCCTAATTTTAAACTGAAAATGTCAAAAGCCTGTAATTAGAAAGAGACATGAGTCACTATAGGCAAGCATATCCAGACGTGGACTTTGTCTAGTTTGGTTTTGATGTTGATCTGTCTTTGTTTATGAAACACAGAAAATACAAAACCATTAAATAATAAAAGAGATTTCAGAGAGTGGTCAAGCATAGAGAAACAGGTTTACAGTGCAATACAATAGTCTAAACTAAATCAATAAATAAATAAAAAAGATTAGTCTATGGTTAAACAAAGAATGCATGAAACCACAACATGCGTCCTTGACTGTGGTGATCTTACACTGACACGCCCTTGGAATTAAACTAGTTGAACTACCGGCTTTGAATTTGGGTAAATCCTATAAACTAAGCTTCTTTTGGTTTTCCCATCTGAGCAGTCAGTTATTAAAAAAGGTTGTGAAACAAACAGTGTTCACAAGGTTACTTTTAAAATGTATTCCACTACAGATTACAAAATACATGCCCCAAAATGAAGTTTGTAATGTCTTCTACAAGTTACTCAATGTGAGTAACATATGAGTACTTTGGATTACTTGATATATTGTCATGCTTTTTACAACTACATGAATGTACTATTTTTTTTCTCTTCTTCCTCTATTCGTGTTGTTTTTATTTTTTGTTTGTCTTATATTTGGGCCATTTTTCTATATGTGAATAAATATTTTTATATAAATACGTGCATATCTTTTAAATTAAACATCAGGAATTCAGTGTGCAGCATTTGTCTTGAAGACTGATGAAATACATTTGAAAAGCATTGTTCCCTTTTGTTTGAATGTTATGTTTTCTGTTCTGAAACATGAAGCAACAGTGTGAAAGGACACACTAAACATAAAACAGGCTGTGTTGCTGTGAGGTAGGTCAAGTTGATGGAATGGCAAACGGTAAGATGGAAATTAACTCAATCCTCTTCAGAGCTTTCGTTCCCAATGACACATCATCTGTTGGTCTAACCAGAATCTGGAGCGCACTTGCATGCACTTGCGTTGTCTGAGCTTTTTTTTGTTCTTCCCTGTCCCGTTTTGCACTGGTGCAGTCAAAGGTTTATTGTCATATTTAAAATTAATACATAGTATAAAAAAGCTTTTTATGCATTTTCAAATCTTTGTAGCTTTTTAGCAGCAAACCTTCAATTTAAATCCACTGATAAAAGCATTTAATCACTAGACATTTAATCCCTGACCGACGATGCTATTCAACTGCCAATGTTTACCCTGCCAAAAGGAGCTTCAAGAATAAAATATTTCTCTGTCTGCATAACAAATGCTCTTATTTTGTTATACTGGTATTGACATTTATTGATAGCATGCCTGTGTGTCAGATTGCGGTTTAACTGTCAGGACAGTTACCTGCTGGTAGGTGTGTCCTTGTTTGCTCTCAATGTCTCCATTGTATGTAGACATACCCAAAAATGTCTGTGGTATAACTGTGATCATAGAAACGATCAATGTCATTACCTGACAGGTTTTTGTTTGAGAAACGCGGTGTCAACTTAATTTCACTTAAGTCCACCCTGTGAAATGACAGTAATATAAAAAATAAAGTCCATATACATATGAGAATATATTTTCCTGTACAGTTAGGTCCATATAAGTAAAAAGTAACATACTGTCCATGTGGACAGCAAATTTCAGTTGAGTGTGAAGATGCTGATTTTGGAGCAGTTGATTTTTTGTTTCTTGGTCGACACCCTCTCATTTCATAGTGATGTAAACTTAGCTTTACTGTGGAACGAGTCTCCATGGCAGGATTGAGTCCTGGTTGTTCCTCGGTTGTTTCCAAGCATCCCAATCAATTTCCTCTCAGCTGACGGTGACAACGTTGGTCATCTTCCTTAACTTAGCAAAGTAGTGAAATATCCAGATAACTGGTACTTATGTAGAACTGAACTGTGGTCATTCAGAAAAGGCCCATAAAAAAGGCCCACAAAGTTTCTGGAATGGATTTCCCAAAGCAGAGACCTCTGCACTATTTAAAAACTTCTGGACTATGCTTAACATCTGAGTAAGGTACAACACTGTCCTTTTAAAAGTATTTATTGATTATTGAAGAATGAAAAGAAAAGGAAGAAAAATCTCAGCTTGCTTATCAAAACAAGTTCCCTATGATGTGCCAAACATTTATGCCCAGGGGTTTGTACTTTGATGATGCAGACAGGGCATCTACCTGATCAGTTTTCAGTTTTATTTGTCATATGCAAGTTAGCACAGGGTCAACATCGCAATGGAATGTATTTGACGAGCAGAAGACAGTCACTCAGCCGAATGGTACAGTAGAAAAAAATAAAATAAAATAATAAAAAATGAATAGAAAAATAGTAAGAGCAAAATATTAATAAGATGTATTAAAAGAAAAAAAGAGATTTTCAGTTAACTGACCACACACACACACACACACACACAAAACTTATGTTAAGCGGCTTTACTTTTGAACAAGGTGAAGTGTTTACTATGTGCCAGGGAGCTGGGATATAACAACAACACCTCATCCATGCTTAGGCACTACAGAGCTTTGCATGAGAATAAGGGGAACACCGATTGTGGAGCAAGACCAGGTGAGCCATCAAATGATAATATAGCATGCAGTAATGTTACTAAATGATATAACAATATTATACAATGCAATAAGTGACGTGTGTGATATTTATATTTGTGCTTTGTTTTTGTTGTCTTTCCTCAGGAGAACAATCTCAAATAGATGAAGACCTGGTTAGCATGGTGATTGAGGACTTCCAGCCATTTAGCATTGTGGAGAACAAAGGATTTAAAAGATTTGTTAAATCATTGAATCCTAGCTATGTTCTCCCCACTAAAAAGGTCATAAAAGCAGTGAAAATTTAGTTTTTACAGAATAAAATGTGAACAGGCAGGTGTAACTGTCCATACCTCAACGTTACAAAAGCACAACCACTGTCCACACCCCAACCACACCTCACCTCACAGTAAATGATCGTTTCCATTTTAAGCATTTCCAAATAATCATTTTCCATACTGCCATCACTACAATATACATGTT